TTGATTTTCCTCGTAGCTGTCTCCTGAGAGTACTAGCTTAGCAAAAAATAAATGAGTTCCAAATTTATTACTGCCATCTATTTACATAACTTTTTTTCTTGAAATAAATAGCTTGTTACTGGTGGGAAATACCGTAAGTTTGTGCTGACAGGGTGAATTCTGACTACAGCTCTCCCGTAAATTTCCCTTTCCCTTTAGTCTTTTTTTGTTTTCAGGTGATTGTCATTAGCACCTCCTCACTGCTATTGAGCAGAGGTTCAGAAAGTGTTTCTATTTGCATTTGAAGACTTTTTTTTTTTTGAGAGACAGAAAGAGGGGCCAGAGGTAGTAGAATAAAGGAACAGAGCGTAGGGCTTAAGAGTGGCTAGAAAATATAAGCATAGGTCTAGAAAGTTCCATAGAAACAGGAGTTTGCGTAGTTACTGTTTTATCCCAGTGTGGGAAGAAAACCTGGCACCCAGCTCTCCTGCAGGAACTATTTAGATGGATAGTGTTTGCAATTTTGTTGTGTTTTTTTTTTTGTTGTTGTTGTTGTTGTTGATACTACTCATCTGCTTCATTTTTACCTTTTCTTGGGCCATGTAACATTTCCAACTATTTCTAACTCTTGAAACATTCACATTCTTGGGTCACAAGACTGCTGCTTTAAGCTCTTCATGTGAACTGATTTCTGATGATGCAGGATCACGTCCTTATGTGAAAACAAGAGGAAAGACATTTTTGAAGTGTTCGTTTTTCCATAGATCATGTTCTCACATGGTTTATTGCATCTACTGCTAGCCTGATTCCTGGAAAAGATCAAGAGAGCAATCAGCCAACAACATTAGAACTGGTCTGCAGGAGGCAGCAAGTTTCCCTGCAACATTAATTGCACACTTGTCCTCTTCTGTCTTAGCCATGACTGAGGGAGCCCTAGGCACATGGGTCTGTACAGAACTGGGGTACAAGCCATAGGTGCAGGATTTATTTATTCATACAGAACTGGGGTACAAGCCATAGGTGCAGGAGCGGTGAGAGGATTCACCAGAGACAGAGTGGGGAGCAGAACAGGCAGAAGTACACTGCTGAGGGGAGCAGCAGGCAGGTCAGGAGAGGTCTGCCGCGCCACGTGGGTCACCTCCAGGGCAGGGACCGAACTCGCACTGAAGAAGCTGCAGCTCGCTTGCAGCGCTGCATCCCAACCCATCACACCACCAGGAAGGGCCCCAATGATCGTTTTATCAAGCTAATTTTGTTCTTCCCTAAAATACAAACCAGATCACATTACTTCCTTTCTCAGAAAGTTGGAATGGCATGCCACTGGTCTTAGACCAGAGATCCAGGCACAGCATCCTGGCCTAACTGCCTGGACCCCCAATCCCATGTAGCTCTAAATTGTCTCTCCAGCCTCATTTCCTGTATTCTCTGCAGGAGACATATTGTAGCCACTCAAGACTTTGACATTGTACCATTTAGCTTCCTGGCGTCTGAGCTCTGCTCCCAGGGACTCACGGTGCCTGACCCTTGCCACCCTTCTTAACCTCAGTCACCTGTGTCTCCCAGGAATTTTTCTGTTTCCCCTCTTGCTCCGCATCTTCTGCCCTGCCCTCTTGTTTTCATCTGGTTACCCTTCTATATATATTTTAAAGACAATTCTGTTTTTCTGATAAGTCAGCTAGACTGTGGCCACTTGCTTCCTCCTGTAGATATATCATTCCAGAAGTAAGACCTGCTTTCCATTCCAAAGAGGGAAAACTTAGCATTGTAGGACTTTAAAACCAAAAAGTGACCCTATAAATAATTTTGTCTCAATTTTGCAATAACAAAATGGAGAAGAATCACCTTTCTTCTGCTGCCAGTCATTCAGCTTGGACCATGCAGGGCACCAGCGGTGCTGTGCTCCTGTGGCCAGGGCCTGCGTTCTTTCCTTGTTTTCAGTCACACAAAGGGTGAAGCAGTTCTGATGGGAATACGTTTCTCCGGAAATAGTCATCTTTAAGGCCGAAGCCCAAGGCTTATTGTTCACACATCTTTGAAAGCTGCAGTTGCCCTTAGTAAAGCCCAGTGGTCTGGCTGCTGATGGCAGTGGCACACCAGTAACTGCCACTGAGCGTTGCAGTGAGCGTGAATGTGCAGTGAGTGTGAACATGAAGCATGAAGGTGAAGTGAGTGTGAACACGAAGTGTGAATGTGCAGTGAATGCGAACATGAAGTGTGAAGGTAAAGTGAATGCGAAGGGGGAGTGTGAACATGTAGTGAGTGTGAATGTGCAGTGAGTGTGAACATGAAATGTGAAGGTGAAGTGTGCAGTGAGTATGAATGTGTAGTGTGAAGGTGAAGTGAGTGTGAAGGTGAAGTGTGAAGGTGAAGTGAGTGTGAGGTGCAGTGAGTAGATCAGGCTTGTGACTCAGCCCCCCTGTCCAGGGATGGTGGGGAAAGGTCAGGGCGCTGGGCCGTGTCTGTAGGTTATCCCCCTTCACCTCACGACGACCTCTACTGCTGCTTGGGGGGGCCCCCCATCGTTAGAAATCAGGTAGGGGGCAAAACAGCTGGCAGAGTCCTCCATTGTCATTTCCTCTAAGGTTAGTGATGGGTAAAGTCAAAATTATACCTAGGTCTTCAACCAAAAGCGATATTCCTGTGGCAGAATAGCCTTTTCCTGACACTTGGTAAGATAGTTTTCGGGTACTTGGGTAAAAAAGAAAGGGTCACCTAAATCTCCCGCTTCCCATATTTTTTATTTCCATCTTTTAAAAGTTAATAAATGCAGGATATTTAATATAGTATGACTTATTTAAGTTTAGCTCCACTAGGCAGGCTGTCCTCAATTTGACTGATACTTAAGTCAGCATCATCCCTCAAAAATGAGGATTAATAAATTATAATGCTATTTGTGAAATGTAATTGTTGGGGCAAAATAGGTTGAATAAGGAAGAAAGGCAGTGAAATCTTTCTTGCTCTGTCATTTTTAGTAGCTTCAATATGTGTACTATGTCCGATAATTTCAGAGGGTGTTTGTGATGATCTTATGTAATTTTGAAAGGTAACGGTCTGGGTATCAGGACTTTCTTGGTGTAACTGACAGGATATGAACTCCGGGACTAGTACGCAGAGCTGCTGGCTTTGACCCATGGGTCCGTCCCACCCATCGCCCACCTCTGCTTCCCCCACCTTGCCTTCCTTTCAGACAGGCTCTCACCTTGTGCTGGCAAAAATAAGCACCAGCAACTCAAGGGTTACCATTCACCCGTTGAGCAAGTACATTTGGGGGCTGGTTCTCAGCCTTGCTGGGGGGTCACGGGGACATGTCTTTGTGCATAGTCTGGAAGGAACTTGGGTTACCTCTGGACTGAGAGTAGAGGAAAAACAATTTCCAAAATAAACTTGCCATGTTATTATCAAAATTAGTAGAAAAGCTGCTGGGCATGGCAGCGTAGAACAGTTTGTTAAAAGAAGGGGACAACCAGAACTTTGTGTTATTCAGTGCTTGGATTTAAGAAAACAAATCTGTTCCCCTGAAAGAACATGTTGCATCTGAGCCACTGCCCCAAAAAGGAAGGGCCCGATCATGCGTGGACATCATGGGCACCAGTGTCAAAAGAAAAGAAATCATGACACTAACATCTTGCTTAAGTAACTACCACTTCAATCTCTGTGTGAAGCATCTGGCGAACATCACTTACATCCTGCAGCACCTTTGTTTGTGAGAGTGGCTGAGAGTAGTTTGGATTTGAATGCAGATATGTCTGACTCCACTCCAGTTATGCTGCCTCCGAGGCTTCCAGTTTGCTTTTGTTCGGCTAACTATCTGCCGGTCGCCCATCCCGCCAAACTCCTTCCCCAGAGCTTTCTAAGCTGTCAGCTCCGCTTTTGCTGGCGTGCCCATCCAGTCGCCACGGGATGTGACCCGACGTGTCTCTTGCCCTCAACCTCTGTTGCTGCTGTCACGCTGGTATGAAGGGTCTGAGTTCGTGTAATTCATTTTCTCGGCCTTTCTGCTGTCCGACCTCATCTGTCCCACCCGTTTCCTCAGTGCAGCCAGAATCAGCTTAATGAAACGTGTAGATAGATCTCCACGTACACGCCTTGGTTTCTCACTGTGCGTGGGGCCTGGTCCTTCCTGCTGCCGCCGCCCCCTCTTACCCTCTCTGTCTGACTGATGGTCTGTGGTCACTCATTTATACTGATTATGAGCCTGATATTTCCCTCTAGGCCATGTACTGCATGGGGGCAGGGCTAAGTTGGCTTGATTAATTAATTGTGGACTCTCTAGTGTTGGCCCCGGTGCCTGGAACATAGCGGACTCTCAAGTAGGTGTCGAACGGCATGACAGACTATTAGCCGAATCGGCCCAAAGCAGCGCATGTTTACATGATCCCACTTCCTATAGTTCTTGCCTGCTGATGATTACTCCAGAATCACGTCTGGAGTGTTTTTATCTCAATGGCTAGCTGCTGCTGTCGTACAGTGATGGGCTTGGTTTTCAGACTTGTTTCAGGGTCAACCATATGAGGGGAGAACAGTAACTGTGAGGAAATGCAGATCCTGTCATTTTGGTCTGAGACAGGTGGGTGGAGAGGAGGAGAGGTGATAGTTCTGCTGACCCACTCCGGGTGGGTCTCTGCCAGGGGACACAGAAACCTGGACGCATCTAGCTCTCAGGTATGTGTCGCTAGAACCAGGCAGCCAAGTCTTGCCTCTCTGCTCGTCTGTTGTTTCTGGTGACTGTCTTTCCCCAGCTGGCTTTGGAAAGAAAAGTTTTCCCTCCAGTGACTATTTAAATTCCCCAGCTGTGTCGTGGACACTGGCTGTATCTGCCCGTTGGCATCCACAGGCTGGGCTGCTGGCCCAGTTGGGGTACCTCACGATGCCCCCCACACTCGTAGCCATCTGACAAGCACGCAGGATGCTGGCGGGAAACTTCTCTTCACGCTCATCCCAAGTGCTGAAGATAATGTAATTCTGTCTCCCTTTTGATCCACAGTTGGTCATGTTCAGAGTTTGATCTGAATGAGATTCGCCTGATCGTTTACCAGGACTGTGAGCGGAGAGGCAGGCAAGTCTTGTTTGACTCTAAAGCTGTTCACAAGATTGAAGACGCAGCAACTCAGGTATGAAATGTGGCTTTGCTGCCATCCTTTTTGTTTGCGCTTCTAACCACCTATCGAGTCATTTATTAATCGTATTTGTGATCCTCTCCTCGGGCTGTATTGTACATTGGTATTCATGGTTCAGGGCAAACATAAGCAGAACCCCCTCTTTTTAATTATAAAATATTCTTTCATTTACAAAAATAAAAAATATTTGTGTTTTTATTGATATACACAGGTAAAACCGTTAACCCATACTCATGATAGACACTAAATAGGACTGAATTTGGTGATGAATTCAATCCAGTAGGATTTTAATGCCAAGTATATGCCTTGTAGCGGGAGAACTTGTAGTGGCAATTCATAAAGTATTAGCCTCACGGACAGGTAATAGGACATAGATCATTCCGTCCAATGTTTCTCCCCAAGAGTAAGAGGGATACGTAGTCCTGGGGTAAACAAAGTTCATTAGCACCCTACAGTTTTCCTTGCCATAGGGCACCAGTCTGATCTCACACACCGTCATCTTCCAAGTTGATTGCTTCTTAAACGAATTCACCAAGGAACCGGCTGTCTTGTGTGTGTGTGCGTGTGTGACAGAGTGCTGGTAGTGGTGGTGTGGGGCTGGCCTGGGGGGTAGGGGGGAGTCAGGGATAGAATGGGACAGAGCAGCTCTGGGTGACCCTTGGAGCCAGAACAGAAAGGCTCAAGTGATGAACTGGTCTTTTTCTATGTCCTCAGGACGCCGTTCTAAAGTGCTCCTAGATGGTCAGGCCTTCCATCCTCCTTTTAATAGCTATTCAGATGCGTACCACTTAAATAAATCCATCTGTACTTCCTCTCCTCATGCCCAGTATTTTGTTGCCTGCTCTGACCCAATTCTACCAGACCGTGGAAGTAAATGAGTAGTGAGTGCCATGGTCTTTGTCTCATCAGGGCCAGGGAGCCATTTTCCTGCTCTTTGACGGGGCATTTCTACAGGAAGGACTGTTTGGTTAGAGACAGCTGGGTAGATGCCACCAAGCTTTGAAGTGGAATTTTGCCAGGAGCTAATCATTACAGTAGTTGCTGTGCTTGTTGGGTGGGTGAGGGACCTGCTGGAGGCTCTCAGGTGAGTCACCTGGAGGCACCAATGGTAGATTGATATCAAAGCCTACATGAGCCAGCGCTTGATCTTTGTTTGGTAGACAGGACATGGTTCTCCCTTGATTCCCGACCTCATTTCCAGTTCCTCCAAGTCCTCGAGCAGATGGTTTGAGTTGAACACCCACATTGCCCCCTGGGGGTTCCCTGGGCTTGGCCCAGGTCACTGCTTTTCAAAGGGAACAGAAATAGGAACCTTGGCTCTGTCAGAGCAGTGGTGACACTAGAGTCTTGGACTTCAGCTTTCTGGGAAGGGCTCAGTGAACCAAAAAGGCACCAGAGGTCCAGGGAGGGCTGTCACATGCTGAGCCACCAGGGGTGAGTCAGGGCGCTGCTCACCCCGTCAGCTGCTGCTGCCTCTGCTGCCTGCTGGTGCCGAGTAACAGCTGGACCTGTGTGGAGGGTGTGCTCACATCAGAATGACCAGCGCCCTCCGCAGGCCACCTGGGCCAGCACAGTTTGCATTTTCCTTCATTCTTTTCCCATTTTCAGAACACCCCACCCCCACCCCGCCCTGCCCCCGGGCCCCACCTATGGCATAGGAAAACATCCTGAGTTATCTCTAGCATCTGACTGCTCTCATTTGCATTAGGCCACCAGTGTGACTGTCACATTGGAGATTAGATCCGATGCAGCCGCGTTCATGTTTCCCCAGCAAAAGCTGCACACAGCAAAGCAAGCATGACTCAAAATAGAAACAACCTGCCAGAGAGCTGCAGGAGCGGCCGGCCGTAAGAGGATCTGGCTTGGTGGGGTAGCGAGCTGACGGATGGGGGTGTGTCTTTACCCCTCGTGACAGCAATGAATCTGCCTGGGGGATAGATAGCAGACATATCTCCGTGACCCCGAATGTAAAGTCACCTTTCTGTCGCATATGTACGCAGCACAGTCGCTACTTTTTCAGAGTTTGGCTTCATCTTTCACAAACCCGCCCTCATGATTTTCTCTCTTATTTCCGTTAAGGGAGTGCTAAAAAGTCAGTGTGTCAGTAAAAATACACACCTAGGTCTTCCAAATGAATAGCTTTGCTTTCTTAATTTCTTCTACTTGGTAAAGATTTTAATTTGAAGCAGTCTCTTTCTCCTCATCAGTTTTAGAGAGTAATGCTGTACTTGGTGCTAAAAATCGTCTAGTAATAACCCAAATTGAGATCAGATCTCATTGATGATTTTAAAATATGAATTGAAATGAGTTAATATGAATGAGCAATTCAAGCAGAATAAAATCTTAGTACATAACCCTCGCCTCCTGTCTGGTGCCCTCTTCAGCATTCCCCCCACCCAAAATACCACAGACTCTTAAGAACCACCTTTTTGTTAGCAAGGAAAAGGGGGAACCATGGGAAGCAAAAAGCTTCTGGACTTTGGTGCCACCTATACATGGCATAACAGGTTGTGCAAAAGAAAGGGATTCCCAGTGAAGGGCGTGACAGGGACACCTGACTTGGCCAGCAGCACTGACCTCGCCTGTCTCCCTTCACCCAGAAAGCAGAGGATGGCCCTGTTAAAGTGTCCGCCCGGTGCTGCCAGGGAAGCAGCGGCAGCGGCGGCACCTCCTACCACGGTTCTCCTGGAGCATCTTTGCAGAATGCAAAGGAGCAGCTTCCCAAGTACCAGGTAAAAGGACCTCTCCCCTGTGGAGCATCCGTGAGGCTGAAGTCACCTGTTGGAGTTCCTCCTCAGGGAGGAAAGCCTGCTTCAGGGTTTGCCTCCGCGAGTATGAGACGACGTGGTCAGACACATGCTCCTAACTGTTTCGTGTCTGGGCTATTTTTACACTTGGTTTTTCTCTCTCACTAAAAACTTGCAGTCAAGTAGAGGCGAGCCGGCAGCATGCTTGCCAGATGAGGGAGAAGTGCACAGACGAGGTGAACCCTTCTGGTTTGTTGTCAGAGCCTGACTGACGAATGTACGGTTTCTGATTTTGCTGTAAGAACTCCGAGGATTCTGGGTGCTTTGGGGCAGCGTTGGAAAATAGAACTTGCCAGGAGAGGGAGGAAAACCTGTATAAGAGAGGAAAGAAATGGGGTGACCTGCCTTAAGTGCAAAGGACGACAGATTTGTAGCAATTTTCATGCTGTGTGTGTGTGCGTGTGTATGTGTGTGTATAGTGAGAAAGAGAGGAGAGTTACTGAGAAATACTGACTAAGTAGTTAGCAGGGAAGCAATTTCTAGTTCTTGAACAACAGAAGGGTATTCATTGATGAAGAACATGCTGGTTTTATTTTTTTGGACCCATGTGTAATTTTGCCTATCATGTCGCTGCGAAAGCAAACCAAGGAAATTACCAGCAACCACACAACTTGAGAACTTTGTTAACTTCATGGTCAGGCTTTGTAGCATGGATTTGCTGCAGGTTTCAAAACAGCTTGCACTGAAAAAAGTATCGGTGAAAATTTCACCTACCTGAGAACCTCAGTTGGCATGAGGACCTTGTGCTCAAAGAAAAAGCAGATGAAAAGATGGAAGGGGTCGGTGGGAGTTACTGATAGGGAATGTAGAAAGGCTTGGCCTGTGTCTGCGTGTAGTGAGACAAAGCTGGTGTAAACTTGAACCAGAGAGGAGCCCAGCTATAGAGGCTGAGGGTTTCTGTTTCTCTTTCCTCCTCCGCAAATACGTACCAAGTATATACATATATGTCAGTGTGCGTGTACTTGTGTGTGTAGGTGTCTGTGTTTTTGTATGTGTCTGAGTTAAAGGATGTGCTTTTGCTTGAGTGGAAAGCAAAGGAGTGGGCTGGTTATACTGTGGTTGTTTTGTGCTGCTCGTGCTGTGCCGGGCGCCTGTGCCACACCGGTATGACCGACACCCCTGCCTGTACCATGCACCAGTGCGTCACCAGCACTTCAAATAGGTGCTCAGATTCCTTTATCCAAACGCGCTCATTCTCATATCATGTTTTAATGTTATGAACATACTGTGGTATACAGACGTTTGGGTTTAGGGTTCTAAAGCCCACAGAGAGGCCTGGGCCTATGGTGTATCTTATGCAAAGAAAAATCAAAATGGTAAGCATGGATGCCGACAGTGAGGAGAGGAGCACCCGCTGAAAACAGCCCTGTGCTAGAGATGTTCTGGGAAAGAGATTCAGTAAGGAGAGTGACCAGATGTGACGGCAGTCGTGAGCAAGCAAATTACATATATTTATATAAATATAAAGATGTATTTATTTAGGCATACAGAGGTGGGTACAGGCCAGAGGAGGGGCAGTGAGAGGCTTCACCAGAGACAGAGTGGGGAGCAGAACAGGCAGATTGACGAAGTACACTGCTGAAGGGAGCAGTGGACGGTCAGGAGAGGTCTGCCGCACCATGTGGGTCACCTCCAGGGTGGGGATCGAACTCGTGCTGAAGTGGCTTTAGCTTCCACCAGGGAGGGTTGGGTTCATATATTTTTGAAATATTTTTTGTAAGACTTTAGAGCTATCTCTGGACACTCACAGAGCCCTTCCTGAAACATGTTTCTTTTCAGGGTGTGTTCTTACTCCCACATGAAGGGTCCCCAGTTTCCCCATAACCTATTGGGCCTTCTCATTGGAGTTTGTAATGGGGATAATGAAGATATTCATTTCTTGTAACTAGACTTAAAATGCACTTTGGTACAAACATATTGGTACAAATTAAAAATCATGAACGTTAGCAGAACATTTGGTCCAAAAAGAGGCAGCTCCTCTTCTGGATTAAGACTGTAAATGGATCCCGTGCTGCTTTGAGAAGTGGTTTTCATCACCCACTAAACTAAGGAAAGACACCGGTGGCCACGTGATCCCCTGTTGGGCCGGGCATCGTGTTGTGCCTCATACTGATTTTGGTTTCTTTCATGCATATTAGTATACAAGACCAGCGTCTGATGTCAACATGCTGGGAGAAATGATGTTTGGTTCAGTTGCAATGAGTTACAAAGGCTCTACCTTAAAGATACACTATATAAGGTGAGTTTGGGCCGCTCTGTCTCCTAGTTGGGAGAAGTGGGCTGTGATTTTGACTCCTTTCAAAAATGCCTTTCTCCCCTGTTTCTCTCCAGGTCTCCTCCACAACTGATGATTAGTAAAGTCTTCTCTGCTAGAATGGGCAGCTTCTGTGGGAGCACAAATAAGTAAGTGTGGGGTTTTCCTCCTGGGCCCCCCCTCTATTTTTTAAAGTGGCTATTTCTGAGGGGAGTCATTCTTGGTCCACATTAATGAAAGGATTTAAAAAGTGGCCACTGTCATCTAACACGTAATGATTATGAAAAGGTCTTTGAGTTTATAGAGGTCTGGTTATGTACTTTGGGTCTTTTCATTTCGGAAGAAACGGGTAGGTGACTGGCAGTAGGAACAGCTCAGATAAGTCACAGTTCCTTTGACCTCTTCATGCAGCATTATCCTTGGAGTCGTTATTTCTATTTGTTAATGAATACAATAAATTACTAAAATCTTCTTCACTCATGTTTGTGTTTATGCTTGATTTCAGAACTTTTTATAAAGTTAATGTTATGTCCTCTTTCTGGGAAAAGAAGTTGCTGAATTTTCATAGATGTTAACTAAGCGTTAAAAATAATTCCATATATTCATTTTGAAAGCTTATGTAAAATTGTCCGTGAAGTGAATAGCGACATGTTGGGTGCCAGTCGTGAAAGCAGAATTTAGAAATCAATAGCAGTATCCTCATGTCAGTCACCAGAGCGAAAATTCATCGTCTGGTGTCCTCTCGGGAATGTGAAGCTGCTAGAGATGGGTTGTTTACGTTTATAGTTGAGCTACCTACGAAAACATTTGCTTGGCCTCCAACAAATCACTCTTTATTTTTATTCATTGGTAAAGAAAAGTCTGAGCAACTAACTGTTAAGTTGTCTTTGTGAGTCTGGTTGAAAACAGGTTTAATTCATCTCAACTTCTTCCCCTCTCTCTCCCTGGCTTGCCCTTCTTGGATTTAGCTTGCAAGACAGCTTTGAATACATCAACCAAGATCCTAACTTGGGAAAACTGAACACAAATCAGAATAATTTGGGTCCTTGTCGTACTGGAAGTAACCTAGGTAAAATCAGCCACAGAAACGGGCTCTTCCCTCCCAAAAGCCACTGTTGTGGGTGTGTTTCACTGTATTTTCGTTTGTTGTGTGGTGGTTGTTTTTTGCATTATCTTTAATCTGTGTGTATTTTTGTGTGTGTACTTCGTTTGCCCTCTTCTGTGTGTTTCTCTCTAGGTCTGCTGCAAGCTTGCGGCAGCAAACTGCTGCAGGGGGTAGCTGAAGGAGGACCCCTCCAGCTCACCCGGAGTGCTTCTTTCTTTGCAGGTTTGTGTGGCATGCAGCGGACAGTGTGGCCCGCACACTTATCAGTACATCCTGTGCAGACCTTTAGAAAAAAATCCTAGTTGGTGCCTCTTTAGAAATCCAACGGGCTCTTGAGATACTAGTTTCAAATGCAACCACCTTTGTGGTGTTCTGAAAATTCCACCAGTGAACCTCTACTGTAGATATCTTTACTAATACCCCAGAGTAAGCTGATTTCGATCTCAAATGAGCCCTTAGTGTTTCTAAGAGGATTATGTCTTCTGATTTTCCTGGGCCTCTTCTGCTATAAAATGTTCCCTTTTGCTGTGGGATCCTTTACTCATTTACTCACCGGCACCTTTATCAGCACCATTTCTTCAAAAGTCACTGATTGGAGCATGGATGGTCACTTGCTCTTGCGTTCACTCTCGCTTTTGCATGTGAGTAGTTTAAATGCAGTTTTTAGGTTCTTTACAGGTATGATCATCTTGGTCTCTGTGGGGAGGTAAATTCTGAGGTTTAATGAGACTTGCCTGCTTGTGCTGTTGAATGTCGGTTGTAGTCTTGGCATGATGAGCGAAGGTGGGGACTCTGGTGTTACTAACACCAAAGGGTTGTGTTTATGGCAGATGTATTATTCTTCATTCTGTTATTTGTACTCTGTATCCTGAAATATGCTGAGCACCATAGTTAACTGACACCCTAGAGAAACTGACACCCTCCCACCTACTCTGAGTGAGGATAACATGTTTATATACTCTTTAAAATTGTGAAAATAAACATGCATTAAAAAATAGCTAGCAAGTATAATAACCAGGCTGGGCCCTGGGCTTCTTGAACATTGGAAAACCTCATCTACCCTCTAACTCAGTAAGTTTAGGTGAAACTAAAGCTTTCCTAGAAGTCTGTGATACTTTAGAGTGTTTTCCAAAATTCATGCCAGAACATGGGTTTTTTTCTAAGTAACTACCAGAATGCTGAATATGGATATATTTTGGAAAAGAAGTGGGGGAAGAAATATCTGAAACTGAGTCTGTGTTTTCTGTCTGCCAAAAGAGTAGACTTTAAACAGAGAGACATTTTTTAAATTTATGAAATGGTTTTCAAGTGTTTTCTCTGAAGTTGCCTATATTTTCTACCGAAGCTGATTATAAACATTTTAAAGATACAGTGCTATTTAAATACTACTAGTAGTGAGGCAAGTGGCTAAATGTATTTGCTTGAGAATGTTCATTGCATCAACTACATGCATAGTTTATTATTCAGTTTTTTGTTTTTTAAAGAAATGAGCATCACTCAAAAAAATGTACATGCTACAATAGGAGAGAGTTAAAGGTAGTTTGTTCTTGAGTCTGTTTTCTTCCTACTCTTCCATCTTCTTTTTATGTGTCCACTTTTGCTTTCTGGTTAATTTCTACGTAGACTTAAAGCAAATCATCAATCGCTGTAGCCTATTTTGCAATGTAAAAATGACTGCCATCGTTCTTAACCATCTATGGAGAGTCCAATAACGTGGTTTCCTTTTGTCTTTATCTCAGCTCACAGCACACCTGTTGACATGCCAAGCAGAGGCCAGAATGAAGACAGGGACAGTGGCATTGCTCGCTCAGGTACTTCCTTTTGTTGGTTTAGCTAATAGGGTGAGCACTCCAGAAAGGTGCAGTAGGTGGGAACCATACGACAGATCAGCCTCATCTTCTGGCCTGCTTGTTTTCCTGCTCTATATTCTAAGATGGTCTCACAAGTCTAAAGAAGTCCTTAAGAGTGTGCGCACAAGTGACCTTGTGTAAAGGAACATTTTAAATGATAATCTCATTCATACTTTTTTTTTTTAAGATTTATTTATTCATGCTTACAGAACTGGAGTACAGGCCAGAGGTATGGTGGGTGAGAGGGTTCACCAGAGACAGAGTAGGGAGCAGATTAGGGAGATCTACTGAAATACACTACTGAGGGGAGCAGCGGTCAGGTCAGGAGAGGTCTGCCACACCATGTGGGTTATTCCTTGGCCAGGGATCGAACTCGTGCTGCAGTGGTTTGGTGAGCTTCATAATGTGGTGCTTTAACTGGCTGCGCCACCAGGGAAGGCCCTCATTCATACTTTTTAAACACTATTAACAGCAGTTTATGCCAAACTTTGTCTTTATTCCATGAATTTTGGGAAGTACTAAGACAATAAAGTAAATATAAGCAGTTTATTTAAAATTTAATATTCATAGATATATACTTATAACAAATTTGAGAACCATTTTTTTCTAGTGTCATTGTGGGAAATGGGAACTAGGCTAGGAGGCAAAGGAAGACATTGTTGCTTGCAAGTGACTGGCATCAACCTAAATGTCTATCTCTGGGGATGGGTTCAATCATATGCGTGCCAGTAAAGGAGTGTAATGTGGTGGGTACCAGGCTTGAGGCAACTCAGCATGCATTGAAATAGAAATAGTCTCTTAGAAATTTATATGTGTGTGTGTGTGTGTGTGTGTGTATTCAGAAGGGTAGTTTTATTATAAAAGGGGAAGGGAGGGGGAGGGTGCTCGCACAGACACCAGCAGGCAGAAAGAGCTGCTCCTGAAAGGGACGGTTTTGTTAAAAGGGAGCCCACACACAGCCGAGGGCTGCCTCCTGCTGCTCTGCAGAGGGAGAAGCTGGTCAAGAGAAACACCTGCATAGTCACAGGCGGGCAGGAGAGCTGCTCTCTTAGAGATGTTTAAGTGAAAAGATGTGTCAGCATAGTCATAGCCAACTGTCATTTATTGTTTCCAAACAAAATAAACATGTGCAATAAATAAACCTATAAGGTCAGTGTAATTTCAGTATAAATTCCTATGAAGGCAGACAAAATAACTCATACACACACACAGAGATATTGACGAACAAAAATAAAGAATCTTATGCCTTACAAAGTCTTTGTAGACACTTCTTTCTTAGGGCACAAGTAATGGATACAAAGTCTGGAAGTTACAGTTTGATCATCAAGGCTGAGCTAGAGTTGATGTCCTCCATAAGGAACTAACAACTTAAGATGTTTTTCAGTGGAATATTACTTTGTACTAAAAAGAGTGATCAAACTATGAGACAACTTGGAAGAAATTTAAATGCATACCGCTTAATAAAAGAAGCCAATCTGAAAAAGCTATATACTATGTAAGTTCAATGATAATACATTCAGGAAAAGACAAAAAAACTATGGAGAACACAGCGGAGTCAGTGGTTGCCATGGAAACAGGAGGCCTGAATTGGTGGAGTACAAAGCCTTTTTAGGGTGAAATTATGCTTTAGGATACTGTAGTAGTGAGTAGTTGTCATAATTAGTCATCAGACTGCAGAGAATATGCAATACCAAGTGTGAACCCTAATGTGGAATATGGAGTCTGGGTAAAAATGATGTATAAATGTAGGTTCATTAATCATAATCCGGTGGGAGGGTTGGTAAAGAGGCAGGGAGGCTGAGGTTATATGGAAAATCTGTGTACCATCCATTCAGATTTGCTGTTAAAGGAAGGTCTACTTTTAAAATTTGGAGAAGTTTTAAAGTCATGGTAGCGAAAACATTTTGTCTGTTTATTCAGGGGGCTTGGCAGGAACTTTATTAAACTTAAAGAACCTGTCATGTCTTTGAGAGCTTTATAGCCTTAAAGTCATTTTTCAGGCTGGCAACTAAATGTGTCTACTAAAATTTGATCTGTTAGTTTGATTAAAATTGAAAATTTCCTATCAAACAACGATTACAGTACTGCTCATTGACCTTAAGTGATTTTCTTCTGGTGTACTTAGAAATGGAACTGCTGAGCCTTAAGGAACCTGGTATTTTTTTCAAGAGTTTAACTAAGCAACAGCCCCAAGAGAAGTGCCGTCAGAGTTGCAGCTAACAGATCCCAGGAGTGGGGGCGCAGGGCCTCTGTGCCGCAGACGTGTCCGGCGCTGTGTTTCAGAGCTGCTCCACCACCCAGAGGACGGAACAGGACATTTTTAATGGAGCTGTGATTTTTTCCTCTAATGCTTTTTCCTATCATAATTAATGAGTAAGGCACCACTGACCTTCACATCAGACTTTCTTGCTCACTCCCTTCCTGCAGCACTATTTCTTGAGCATCTGCACATGATGGACGCTTTTCTACCAGATGGTGGTCAGGCAGACATGATTCTTGACCTCGAGGAATTGATATCAGATCAAGAGACAAGACAGCAAACAGTAAAATGTAGGCCAGCACTTGCCACTACGGGAAATCTGACGATCGGGGTGCTGGTGGAAGACCCTTCTCAGGAAGTGAAATTCTGCCTAGGACTTGAATGCCAGTGATAACAGGTTTTGTGAGGATCAGAGCAAAGAGTGTTTCAGGCAGAGCGGGGTGGGAACAGGTTTGGAGCTTTGTGTCAAAGGCAGAGAAGGAAGGCAGGAAGGCAGGAGTCACTGAGAGGAGCGTGGTGGCGATGACCTGGAAGCGGAAGTAAGCAGCTGCAATGGACGTCACACCCTGACCTGTTAATCGGTCGTTGATGCGAGCACTTCCAAGCCCACAGAGCAGTGCCTTGCCCCCACTGCAGAAGAGACAGAAGACTGAGTTAGTGCCTGTAGTACCCTCCCCCACTTTCTCCTGGCAAGTAAGGTCAGTTGAGCAGCCTCAGAACTTGTTGCTTCAGGCCACTGTTGACTTGCCAAGTTCAGACTTGACCCTGAACATTTGCCATAGCTCTGTTCCTGCACCATCCCAGGATTTGATACCATAATCACAGCTTGTTTGTTTTCAGCAGCATTAATAATCCAACCTCAAAACTTTCCAGAGGAGAAATTGCTGCTGCTTCTGGACCCGTGACTTTTGCCCTCCTTCTTCCAGTGTCATGGCTGTTCCTTGTGATGCCATATTCTGTGTTTATCTTGTAATCCCCTGGAGTTTTTGTTCCTTTTTTCCTGTGATGCGAGTTCCAGGAGGGCAGACCTTCCTCTAGTCCCAGATTGACTGCGCTGTCCCCAGCCATGTGGCCTGGCCGTCATGGCTGCCCAGAAGCTCTTTGAATGAGGAGGGGAAAATCTGTCCATCCGTAGGCACAAGGAGAAAAACCGCATTGATTTTAAAAGCAATTATTGCTATTATTTACTTCCTTTCCTATGGAGTATTTGGGGTGCCCTCCCCTTTGTCTGTTTCCATGACTGTTTCATGTTGGCATTTAGGTCTTAGCTGAGAAAATATTGTTTTCATAAAGGTGTTCACTGATCAATGACTTAAAAAATTTACCTTTGCCCTCGTTGCTTAAAGATTTGTACTAATTTTTCCAGTAACTGCAGTCAGAAATCATTTTGTTTATTCTTAACCCCTCAGAAGCTCTGAAGAGATTATATCTATTAATTTTCTGCCCTAAGCACCTAGCGTGGTGCCTGGCTCTTAGGCAGTGCTCAGTGAATATCTTTGTATCACTGGATTTGACTTAAGGGTTTCAGAACATTCTTAGGTCGAATCTACTACAGTGTTCCTAGTCAGCTTTCAAAATAGCAAATTTATTTTAGGAGAAAGCCACACACTTATCTTGAACTTGCAGGGCACAGAGCTAAAAGAGCCAGTCATGGGCATTTCATTCAGTCAGACGTACCCTTTTGTTTTTTTTAAAGATTTGTTTGTTTATTCATACAGAACTCTGGGGTACAGGCCAGAGGTGCAGAGGCAGTGAGAGGATTCACCAGAGACAGAGTGGAGAGAAGAACATGCAAATTGACAAAGTACACTGTTGAGGAGAGTAGTGGGCGGTCAGGAGAAGTCTGCCATGCCACGTGGGTCACCTCCGGGGCAGGCGGGGATTGAACTCATGCGGAAGTGGCTTTAGCTTCTTAGTGCTGTGTTCTAACCCTCTGCGTCACCAGGGAAGGCCCCAGATGTACCCTTTTTTCTGTATTGTTAACCTCCACAGAAATAAGCAAATGCTGGTCGAAGAACCCTCCTCAGACAGGAGAATGGGGATGAAAGCACAGTTTTTAAAATTCAGAGTTAGCAGATATAAAATGTAAATCTCCTGGTGATGTGATTTTGGCTAATTATTTTTCTAATTTTTTCCTCTAAAAGTATTCTAAAAAGAAACGTGACACTAAAAATATTAAGTAGCGTTAGACTTAGCGCCTTTAAAGCTGAAACTGAGCCTATGAATAATTTAACTTAAAGTCTCACGTTTTTATAACCGAGGCACCCATTTAAAGAATTTTTTTCCCAACTCTCAGAAACCACTGGGCGCACAGCAGGGCTCAGCCCTCCTCACTTAAAGGTCATCAGAGCTCTTCAGCCCTCTCAGGGGCCATCTGCTGGGCAGCCGTCTCTCCACTCCCCTCTCAGGTGACTCCCTCCGAGTGGCCCAGGTCCCCCACCTTCCAGCTGAGCCAGCCAGCCACCATGGGCACCGATGGAACCATCTGATCCACCCTTTTCTCATGAAAAGGACATTGAGTGTCCGGCCAACACTGAACCTGTGCTCGCATTTGCAAGTTTGTGTATTGTCTTCCAAGAACTTGAGCCCGCCAATGACAGACCACAGTACTTTTAGATAAAAAATTACTAAATGACACTAAAATGTCTTTGTGATAAGGAAATGATTGAGAGCCCTGTACCAGCATTTTGGTTTAATACTTCATTTATTTGACATAAAATGATTATTCAGCATTTTATAATGAGAAAAGGAATCTTTTTTTATTACTTTTAATTCTCTTTTCTTTCATCTCAGTTATGAATCCTAGGTTCCTTCATAATTAATCAGAACCATAACCTTTCAGTACTCCAAAATGTCCTACTAGGTCTGCCTTTCCCAAGAAACTGCCAGAGGGAGTGAATCACTAACTTTTATTATGTCAGGAACTGGGCTAAGCATTTTACTTGTATCGATTTGTAAACCTTACAGGAACCTTATGAATTAGGTCAGTGTTTTTTTAACTTTCCTTTTGTCTGCAGCCCGTGATAATGGATTTTCATCTTGCTCCAGTAGCATACATTGCATGTGTAGTAAAGAGTAGTTTCCTCGGGTGGTATTAATCGGCAGTGCATTTTCTTCTTTTTAAATGTTGGCTTCGATCCATTAAACAGTTCACAACCCACTAGCTCCTTGCTGTTCTCATGAAAAATACTGAGGTACTTTATTGTCCCCATCCCAAGTGTCGCAGCTGGCGAATAACAGACCTAAGGTTGGAACCAGGAACCTGGGCTCTTATTCCATGCACTAAATTGAATTATACAGCAACATAGACAGTTTCAAGAATAAACTGACCACGGTCATCGCTACAACTTGCTTCTGTGACAGAAGGGGAAAAAAATGTTTACCATATAAAATAACCACCCATCAGACCTATCCTCCATCTTCCAAGAATTTGATTTGCTTAGCATGAGACAGCAGGCCTTGAAGGTTTTAGGGTGGAAAGGTCGTCTGGACATCATAGAGCACTTGAGAACTTTGGGTGAAATATCTAATGGGGAGGTTGTATTAACCAATTGTATAGGTCTTTAAGAAATAATACTCCCCTGGCTTCCTTCAAAATCTTCAGGAAAATCTCCCACTTAGTGATACTTGAAATGTGGACTTGATTCTGGAGATTCTAGAATTTCACCTTTGGCTGAAAGCTTGAACAGAGGTTAAGAGCTTCTGCTGAGAACAGAGTCTCGCCACCCTGCTGAAGCCAGCTCGCCTGTATGCCGTGAAGAACTGCCATACATTCAGTTAAAATTTACTAACTGCCTGTCATGTCAGGCACTGTCCTGGGTACCAGGGAATACAAATTGAGTAAGATCTACCTGACAAGATTTTTATCATTATTGACTGCATTCAAAAAAAGGCATCTTCCAGAGCTGTGTTGTAGAAAATCTCAGTTGTTATCAGTATGTCAGAATTTTGTAATTTTGTCTGGGGGACAGTCTTTGCTCTTCCCACCACTAGATCCCAATTGCCTGGCACAAAGTAGACATTTGGCATCCGCCTGTTGATAATTAAGAGCAAGTAACTCAAGTTGGGGAGTCTGGTACTTTCTATCTGCCCCTAAAGGTTTAAATGTAAATGTAATATGTTTATGTGGGGATTCTGGCTTAGTCAGCCATACCCATGAGCATGCTATGCTATACTTATTTCAATCAGTTCCCTTTGTCCTGTGATTTGCTTCTGGAAATGTTGACCAGCCATCAGTAACACCCTGTTTACTCGTCCCCTGATTGGGTGACACTTCAGTGTTGAATTCCTTAATCCTTAGGAGGTAAAAGGAAAACAAGTCTGTCTTACTCAATTCCTCCAAACCACTAGATGTTGGTAATGCAGCTGAGATAGGAACAAAAGCCCTTTGCCTGCCTGGAAGGGACCAGCCCCTCCCTGTCTGTTAGAGAAATCAGTTTGCACTTAGAGCCCACTTGCGCTTGCGGTGGACTGTGTATGGGAGGAAGCAGCGAGAGGCGTAGAGGCAAATAAGTAATCCAACCAGAAAATATATTTAAAACTAGAGCTTGCTTTTTCATAGCCAACAAAGTAACTGGAGGGCTGAGAGAAAGGAGGACAAGTATTATCTATTTGGAGATGTGAAGGAAAGGTAGGTAGAAGGCAGGGGATACTATGTTGAGGAAATATTATTAGCCTAGATTTCACCTCAAAATATAGGGCTTTTGTTTTTTAATTGAAATTTTAGGCCAAATTATGTATGGCATTAATTACCAGTTAACTAAACAGTCAGAAACCTACAGGCTAACGTGATGGAATGTGTAGTAAGTATTTTGGAGTTTTAATGTGGGACCGGATAATTGATGTTCTTGCTGTATCTGAAATCCCAGTTTCTTTTCACTTGTCTTCCTTCTAAAAGGATGTTTTCTTTGCCGTAAGTGAGAGAAGTTATAGTCTCCCCCCACTGGATGTCGCTGGTAAAACCTGAGTTTTTCTTTAACTAGATGCATGCAGGCTCGTACTTAACTTTCACATGGTCTTCATGGTCTTCCCCACAGCCTCTCTGAGCAGCCTTTTGATTACACCTTTCCCATCTCCAAGCTCCTCGACATCCTCTTCCAGTAGCTACCAGCGCCGCTGGCTTCGGAGTCAGACAACAAGTCTAGAAAATGGCATCATTCCAAGGAGGTGAGTGGCAGGTTTCCTTTTGCCGAGAAGGTTCTGGTGAAGGCAGCTTGATGCAGCTGGCAAGACTCTGTGCTCCTGGGGTAATGGGGGAAAGGGAGCTCAACTAGCCCAAAAATGTACCTGTTAGAAGTTTTCTAGAATAAATAAAACCTAAAAAACAATCTCCTGGTTTGGAAAACACCAGGAAATACCTGGGTGGGTCTGTGGTGTATGAGGTAGGTCTGGCATTAATTTAAAATGAGTACATTCTCTTACTCAGCTCTCTTCAAGATGTAGAGGCAGAAGGGGGATAAGTCTCTTCTTAGCTCACGGTAATATTGGTGTGGTCTTGGAAAATATGTGAACTCAAAGGTTGCAACATGCTGCTTTTTT